CTTTAAACTTAAAACTGCTGCCAGTCTCTTTTGGTGTGAACATGTGAAGCAACATTATCTCACGTGCAATATGTTGATGACGTTTGATGCATGTTTTCACACGGTACCTTTGAAATACCACTGTCAAGAAGGCACCCATTGCTGATTGAAGCACTGGCAAGTTCGTCTACCACTGGAAGCTCCGTTAAAGGAAGAAGGAGATGACACGCCATCAAGTGCCCATCCACAGCGCGAACAAAACTGACGCTGGTCGCAAAGCCCCTGCATTCTCGGTGTGGTCTGCTTTTGGTGAGCTGCCCGATATCAGACACAATTGGACACAACTTTGCAAACCGTATCTGAAGCCGGAAAAAACTTAGAGCCCACGGTACCGGTACCTGTGAAAGGACACTGTCAAAAAGGCACCCGATGCTTTTCATTGATTCCCTTCTGAGGCTTCATTGTGCTGATTGAAGCACTGACAAGTTCGTCTGCCATTGGAAGCAAGTGTCTAATTTCAGGAAGAAAGGCTCAAGCGACAAAGGACGTCTTGGCAGCATGCCTGGCCCCAAGAGGCCCGCAGATGCCGCCTGTGAGTGCCAGACGTTTAAAAGGACCGTGAAAAAGGTCTTGAATTTACAGCATCGCGGCTGAAGACCGCGGGTGCTATGGGGAAAGGTCACATGGTTCAAGGCAAGCTGGCATCTGCTGGAGCGGTCCACTGCCTTCGTAATCGAGACACGCAAACATTAGGTCACTAGCATTCACCAGCTGCTTCCTTGTCAATGGCTTGCGGGGCAGACTCCAGAAGGAGGCCGCAGCTTGCGTACCACTATTCCGATGCCAAGGATGTTGAGGTGCCTCGGCAAATTGCTGGCAAAATGAATCCATCATGTGTTGCCGGCACATAATTACATAATTACCATGGTTTTTTCCATGCTCTCATTCTTCTCCTATAGAACTAGGATTCCAATAGGGTTCGGATGATAAACCCAGAAAAACCAAACTCGCGTCCATCTATATAACATGATTGTCCTTGCGTCGCCTGTCATCCTCCCACATTGAAGTTGCCGCATTCGAAGGTCACGCCCGGTCACGCCTGGTGGAGAGGTGGAGGCAAATTACCCTTGTTTGAGCAGCAAAAGAAAAGATGGCAATGAGAAACCGACGATTGGCTCAGTCCAAAATGAAAGTGATGAGGGAGAGGATACTAAAGCACTGCCAAATAAGTGAAATACAAGACGGTCACATAGGCGAAGCCAGGTTGAAACATGTTTTCTATAGTTTGCTATAGTTTGCATTTACATTGCATTTACTATATAGATATGGACACCCCGAAGAACATGTATTAAACTGTGAAGAATACGCAGGCGACCAGAAAACCATGTGTGATATGAAAATATGCGCGGAAACCACATGCTGGATAGGTGGAAGAAATGCGTACAAAGTGTGAACGCTGCCCTTGAGGTCTTCGGAAAATGCCGAGCAAATAAGATTGAAGGATTGGATGACCCCGCATGTGAAGCCTTCCTGTCTTGCGCAATACAAGCCGCCAAAAAATCGGGAAGGCATTGCTTGCCACACAGGTAGATTTGATAGAGCTAAGTTTGAGAGGGACAAGTTTGATAGAAAGAAAACTGAAAAAAAAACGTAAATATTATTATATATACATAAAAATAACAGATAAATTTGGTGGAGAGAGACTTGGTAGGGAGAAATTTCACGGATGGAATTACCAAGCCTATCAAAATTATAAACGCAGAGTCAAGTTTGACAGAGATTGGTATGATATAAATTAGGTTTAGCTTGATAGAGGTGGGATTGATAGATGAAAGATTCAAAAAATATGAAACAAGATGCAGCCCACGAACCCGAATGCTCACACGCACGTTAATGGCACACGTGTAGAGTGTGGAGTGTGGAGTGTAAAGTGTAGAGTGTGGAGTGTAAAGTAAGGAGTGTGGAGTGTAAAGTGTGCAGTGGGGGGTGTAGAGTGTGTAAAGTGCAGAGTGTGGAGTGTGAAGTGTCGTGTGGGGAGCGAGGGGTGTAAAGTGTAGCGTGTAGAGTGTGGAGTGTGGAGTGCGGAGTGTAAAGCGAGAAGTGTGGAATGTAAAGTGTGGAGTGTGGAGTCAGGCGTGTAAAGTGTGGAGTGTGGAGTGTAAAGTGTGGAGTGTGGAGTGTGGAGTGGAAAGTGTAGTGTGGAGTGTGGAGTGTGGAGTGTAAAGTGAGGAGTGTGGAGTGTAAAGTGTGGAGTGACGAGCGTGGAGTGCGTAAAGTGTAGAGTGTGAAATGTGGAGTGTAGAGTTAGTGTAAAGTGTAGAGTGTAAAGTGTAGAGTGTGGAATGTGGAGTGTAAAGTGTAGAGTGTGGAGTGAGGAGTGTAAAGTGTGGAGTGTAAAATGTAAAGTGTGGAGTGTAGAGTGTAAAGTAAAAAGTGTAAAGTGTAGAGTGTGGAGTGTGGAGTCTGGAGCGTGGAGTGTAAAGTGTGGAGTGTAAAGTGTGGAGTGTGGAGTGAGGAGTCTAAAGTGTAAAGTGTAGAGTGCGGAGTGTGGAGTGGAAAGTGTAGTGTGGAGTGTGGAGTGTGGAGTGCGGAGTGGAAAGTGTAAAGTGTAAAGTGTAAAGTGTGGAGAGAGGGGTGTAAAGTGTAGAGTGTGGAGTGTGGAGTGTAAGGTGTGGAGTGTGGAGTGTGGAGTGTGGAGTGTGGAGTGTGGAGTGGAAAGTGTAAAGTGTAAAGTGTGGAGTGTGGAGTGTAAAGTGTCGAGTGAGGAGTGTAAAGTGCAAAGCATAAAGCGTAAAGTGTGGAGTGTAAAGTGTAAAGTGTAAAGTGTGGAGTGAGGAGTCTAAAGTGTAAATTGTGGAGTGTGGAGTGTAAAGTGTAGAGTGTGAAGCTTCCCCGATAGACACGGCGACGCCACAGGAAAACCAGAAACTCGAGACGAGACACGTGGGCGCAGAAAAATGAGCTTTTCGTGCGAGATTTCCTCCATTTTTGTCATGTTATCAAGCAGGCTGGAATGTGACAAAGTGCCACGCCTGCCACGCAAAACGACATGACAACCTGCTTGGAAACCTTCGAAAAGGAGAGGTTTTGCAGCTTCCCCCATAGACACAGCGATGCCACAGGAAAACCAGACACTCGAGACGAGACACGTGGGAGCAGCAAAACGTGCATTTCGTGCAAGACTTCCGCTAAGTTTGACACTTTCGACGCGTTATCAAACAGGTTGGAATGTGACAAGGTGCCACGCCTGCTACGCAAAACGACATGACAACCTGCTCGGAAACCTTCGAAAAGGAGAGGTTTTGCAGCTTCCCCCATAGACACAGCGATGCCACAGGAAAACCAGAGACTCGAGACGAGATACGTGGGAGCAGCAAAACGAGCATTTCGTGCGAGACTTCCTCCAGTTTTGATCAATTTTGACACTTTGCAAACATGTAGCCACAAAATCGACGTTTTCCTACGAGTTTTCTTAGGAACCTCTAAATTAGCTACCTCAAAATCGATGTTTCGTGTGAGGCTTCCGTCAATTTTCAACGCATCTCACAAACTGCACGCCTGCCACGGAATCCGCGCCTTGTCGCCACTTGACGCAGCACTGCCAATGCGATTCGCAAAAAACACGCAACACGACACGTCTAAAGTGCTGCGCCTGCCACGCAAAATGACGATGGGCACGTCCAAAGTGCTGCGCCTGCCACGAAAACTGCAACCCATCTTCTGAAAACATCGCAAAAGTATTGCGCCTGCCACACAAACGACTTTCGACACGTTACGAAACACATCCGAATGTCACGAAGTGCCACGCCTGCCACGCGAAACGAAGCAACGAGACGTTTGAAATCTCCAACAAGCATCCCTTCTGCTGAACTTGCCATAGGCACGGCCATACGGGGATCGCGCGAACGGTTGCGGACGGTTGCGGACGGTTGCGGACTGTTGCGACCACAAACGCAACGTCGAGCGAACGCACACTCAACCCCCAGACCCCCAGAGTGAAACGGGAACCCTTGCTACGCATTCGGGAAACATGATAAAACATGATAGAGATGATGGAGGAAGTGGAGACAACAAAGGAGACAAGGAGAAGGATGCGAGGTAGCGCAAAAAAACTCGAACCCAGTTTGGTGATGTCGGAAAACTTTGCATCGCTGCTGAGAATAATGAATGAGTCTTAACACTTTTGAACAATAATGATCCAGTGTCCAGGCAATCAGGTAGCAGCTTTTTGCAGAGGCATCTTGGAAGGTTTGTATCCAGCATTCAATAGTGCCACTATACCGTCCAGCTTTCAAACCAGGCGCTCGCATCAGCGTGACCGATGGACTAAGCGCAGCAAGGGGAGTGCGTTTGAGAAGCAGGGACGGCGCACGCAAGCGCAGCAAACCCATCAAATATGCACCTCTGCCTGTCACCGTGTTGGCCTTACAACTTGACGCTATCAACCTTTAAGGAGTGTCTGACTTGGAGCCATCTCGCATTGCAAAAAGCAGATCCGCTTCACAGGGTTAGCTTGCCTCATTCTTTGATTCACATGACGGAATGGATCCTTGATACCTACAAGTTCAATCAAGTTCAACTAATTATCAAAGAAGCCAGCCGCACGATGCCGCACAATGCCGCATGGGTAATTATTTAGCACAACTAAACCCAACCCAAACCTTCGACTACCAGCCTCCATGGCTGCTAGGTTCCCAAAACGCTTCCGCTCACGGAATTGCGAGGAAGCTTGAATGACAAGTGCTACAGAAAGCGCGTCGATGTCAGGTGGTGCCTGCGCTTCTACTCCCAACAAATGCCTCTGCTTTCCGACTTAACTTGTCACCTCCAAACCCCAATGGGGGGTTTCCCCATGCCCATCTGAATATCTGCTATGGCAAACACATGGTGTTGCACACGTTTGGTTTGGTTTCGTCGTCCTTTTGGCAAAACTGTTCAGTTTATCGTGCCTAGCGTATCATGATGATTCATGATGTATATATAGCCACATATGCGATTCTGCGATGCGTTGCGGAGCCAATCTTTTCACTCGCTGCTGGACAACACCAGGCTGGAATCTACTCGTCTTTGCTTGGGCGATTTAGGCCTCGGATGTGCAACCCAAGGATCAACAAACAGTAGAAAAAATGCACCTGGCACATCCTGGCACCCAGTGTGAAAAGTTCCAGCACTTCAAAATCTTCAAACAATGGCTCCAGTGATCTCCAGTGTGTTGGCTCCAGATGGCTCCAGTGGCCCCAGTTTCCCCTTGAAATCGCCTCACGATGGGTTGCACATCCGAACTCGAAGAAAGTGAGGCCTGGGAAGCTTCACCTTGAGCAATGGGCATTTGGAAGGTACCATGATGTACCAAAAACAACATGACTCATTTGACTCATGTTCATTTGAAAAGCACCCCATCCAAATCATCCAAGAATTCCAAATCTTTTTGGCAAGTTGCTATCGGAGAGTTCGACCATGTCGGGCTGCCTTCGTCTTCGTTCCCGGGGATTTTGCTGTTCATCGTCTTCCGCTCACTCTAGGATGCTTTGACGCAAACGGGCCTGGGCAACGCAATGCGCAACGCAACGCGGAGCCAAGTCATGGAGACAATGGGAGAAGGGCGCACACCGGGTGTGTACCCCGGAGGGGTTACTGTCCGAATACTGTTCGATCATGTTCGATTCAAGTTCGGGACCACACCGGGTGGGTTGAGTTCGAGTTCGGGAAGTTCTGGAGTTTCACCCGGTTGAGTTCAGTTCCAGTTCCAGCTCGGGTTTGAGTTTGGATGGAGTTTGGGCTCGGGTTCGAGTTGTTATGCCCAAAGGGGTTGAGTCCGAAGTCAAGTTCATATACGACAATTCTCCGGCAGAGCGTCCAAGTCCGGGGAGGGTTGAGTAAAAACATTTCATTAAAGCAATCTACCAAAAAAAACAAAGGGTTCCAATGTTTTTTAATGTCATAAGCACCTAATTTTTTATGGCATACGCGCTTAATTTCTATGGCATAAGGACTTTTCATGGCAAAAACACAGAATCCTTCAAGCTGTTGGGGATAACACCTGACTTTATTTTTAGCTAATTTTGTTTTTTAAAAAATAACTGTGTGTTTTTCCCATATCCCCTATTTTAAGCATATTGAATGAATCCTTCTTTGGGTATTTGTTCAGTGTAAAACACACCAGGTTCCTGCAAACCAATCAGGATGGAAACCTGACCTTGTCGTTTTCGGGAAATAAATCCCAACATTGGAATGTCAAGATAATGTATAAGATATTGTAAGATAGAATCAATGATAACCACCATGGGAATGCAACATCTAGTGGTATGATATAACCATATATAAATATATAACCTAAAATAGAGGTTCAACATGGTTCAACCATGACCTTGAAATCAACAATTGGTTAATTTTTTTGGGGTAGGATATCTGATGGCATTGATCCAATAGCTCTACCCCGTAGCCCTTGCCAGATGACCCTGAAGGGACTGACAGATTTGATGGATTTTCAAGATGGTTTTTATCGTGACTTACACCGTTTTAACCGTTTTTTAACCCATAATTCACCCGTAATCCGTAATTGGCCGTAATCTACCAAAACACGCCCGTAGTCGAAGTGTTTTTTACCCAACCACTATCTATTTTTCATAATGGACCATAATCAGCTCGTAGTCACAATTAGGAAAAACATAGTTTTTTAACCTGTAATTTGGTTACCTGTAACGGCCCCGTAAAATACCCATAATTTACCCGTAATTACCCATAATTACAGTAGATTATGGGTAAGTTTTGGGGAGAAAACTACTTATCTAAATTCTTGCTTATTTTGAGTGTGTTTAATGGTTTACGTGGTTGTGATTTTGATTATGGTTTCTTGGGTCGATGAATGTTCGGGGATCGCAACTGGCTGCAACACCGACAAGTTTGCAGAAACTAATTTGCGCCAGACTTGGCCTTCAAGGTCCTGCTTCAATCTGACAGGATCCTGTGATGAAGCTCTTGGACTGAAGATGATAAAAATTGAAACACCTACGCAGCTTTAGGTTGAGCATGTGTTGGCTGAATTTCATTTCAAACTGGTAGCAACCAACTGGCGCATGCAATGTAATTGCTCATCTCTTCATCTATGTGTCAACCTGATGTTTCTCCTGAAAGCATTTCGTTTTTTTGTGATTGTCATATTGGAGATCCCCAATGGATCTTTGCCGTGCTTTCCATACGGAGGTTTATTGAATGTGAACGTGATTCATCTTCTATCCTGACGGGTTTTCATGATTTGCCACAGTCCCCATTGTGGTTGAGGTCGCTGCTTAAGCTGTGGGGAAATGAGTTTGGTGGGTTTCAATCGATGTTTTATGGGTTTCATGATGTTTGGATACATGATGATACATGAACATTTTGGGGTGAAAATAAAAAACCTAGGTTCTTTTAAAAAAGAGCCTATGTTTTTTTTGGGCAACCCAGAGGAGGAAAAAAAAGTAACTGGCCCTCTAGGTATGTGTGTGTGTGATTTTTTTGGTAATTAATCAAGTTTTGCAGGGAAGTCACCGGATATCCTTTTAAAAATCAGGGGAGCCGATCCTTTTTAGACCACATATTTTGTTATCAGTTATAAACTTAAGAACTCATGTCCAATCCCATTTCATTCCTTCAAAAGTGGAACGTCCATCATGTTTATAGATCTGAGGACCCGACATAGACAAAACCAACTGCAAAATATGATACAGGAGTGTTCTTGTTTGGTAGGTTTATGCAGGTTCGGTTTGGACAGGGTTTGGATTTCGCAAGATTTTCAACATCAGTCAAAAACCTTATCTATCGCAGATTGGCCCCAACAATTGTTCTATCATTGGATTTCCTATCAAGCTTTAATTCCTCACCAGGCCCCTGACCGGCCCAACATCTCAAATCTCTACCAGATCAGGGATTCTTCACCCCAAAAAAAAACGAAGGTCTCAGCAGAAAAGCCAGGAGCCAAGGCAGCCAAGGAACCACCATATCCTGTGGAATCACCAAGCCCACCAGCACTGCCCCCGTGTTCAGCTCGCAACGCACCAGCGAGTTCTTCTCGCCCAGCAGGGCACACAGAAAATCCCAATGTACCAAGACTTGCCCTGTCAACATGGTCTCCTCGTCGTGGAGTGGTGGAAAATATCTGGAGATGGGCCACAAACCTGTTTATGGTGTGGAATGGGATATATGATGAAATATATCTGGGTGTGGAATGCCACATATATGCCACAAAATTATATGCCACATAGTTATATATGGGTGTGGAATATGTGGAATGTATCTGCTATATATCCATTGATATCAGCAAGAACTGGCCCATGAGTTGGATAAATAAACAGCGCTTTATCGCTTCGATGGTCGGCGGGGCTCCTCCAAGAATCGTTTCCCCGAGCGGCAGGTGCCTGCCATTTTCAAAGTGTAGCGCGGCTTCATATTGAATCCATGTTGAAGCGAAACTGGAAGCTGACCCGAAGTTGAACCCTTGATACTTCATGATATCGATGATATTACATCATATAAGAATCATATATTTCAACCCAGTTGCGGTTTCCGCAGTTCTGGCCCCGTTGCACGTGGAGGCACTGCGTTTCCGACAGCCGATGCTGTTGCGTCCAGTGCTCTTTGGCTGCATCTGGGGTGATGCGCCGCATGGAGTTTTGTTTCATCTTGGCCAAAGTGCACGAGTTGCCATCCAGCTGCGTTTTGGGACTGTCATGTGGCAGCACCAGCCTCAGGTTTTTCAGAGATGCTTTGAAAGGATTGGTCCTGAATTGGTCCTGAATTGGTCACGAATTGGTCATGAATTGGTCATAGTGGCCTCTTCCAAGTTTCCTAATTGAACAGACTATCCGTCAGGTAAGGAAGTGCGACTTCCACTGCTGGCATCTGCTGGCTGGGCAACTGGTAAGCCACCTGGCCATCACGTGTGCGCCGCCGCAGAACCAAGAGAACTTCTTCGTGTTTGGAGCGCATGTAGAAGCCCTGCATAGCCTCCTGGACTGGGCAACTGGGCAAGTGTTACGGGCTATTCCATGGGAGAATAATGGAGAATAGATACATGATAGTTACAACCTCTGCGATGCACACCTCTAATTATCACTTTGACTTGTTTGCTACAGTGGCTGGAGCTGGTAAAGAAAAACGATGTCAAATAGCCGTGTTCCATCAGTTTCATTCAGTTTCCCCATAGTTTTGGGATAACATATAGTACTATAGTACTATATAGTTATTGTTTCCCCTATCGTTTCCCCATAACTTGCCATTTTCCACCCATTTCCCCAACGAAATGAGCCCCGGCTCCTGATCCTCCGGTGCCCGTTCCAACATCGCTGAAGCCTCCTCGAAATCCATGCCCCGCATCAAGCACAAACGGCGCAGGACCAGGGCACCTGAAAGATCCGTGCCAGGGGACAGGATTACAATGGATTACAGGATACGAAATCCCTAGGTTATGTATACATATAAAATCATATAAAATCATATATATATATGATTGTACATTAATTATTCTAGATTAAAATAAGCTAATATAATATATATATATATAACCATGTAGGTTTGTATGAAATATATTGAAATATATGAAATGAGGTGTGCCCCAAATTGAATGGAAAATTGACGATAAACCGGTAATCACCCGCACCTGGGAGGTTCTCAGCCATCAGCTCAGTGACTTGCTGCAGCCGACCCCACCGCATTCCGCGGTTCAGAGACCTCAAATGGGAAATGTTCCGCAGAAAAAGTTACTGATATTTACTAATATGAACCAATGACGTATAAAATCCTTAGTTCTTATAGCTCAGTCACTCAGTCCTTCCTCTTTTTCCTCCTTGTGAAGCAAGTTATTGCTCTTGCAGTAGGTACAGAAATGCATTTTAGAATGTGAATTTACAGCATATACCGTATATATATATATATACCGTTCTATCATTGTTACATTCTTTAACATAGCTGAATTAAGTATGTGTGTGTGATCTTCTATGCTTTTGTATGCTTTTGTTGGTTACATTCGTGGCATCCTACGAGTTCATGACTTCCGAGGCACAGCACCCCCTGATTCGGTAAGCCATCGCGACGATCCGCCGCCTCCATAGATGCCACGTGTGTGGCCAGCAGCTCAAAGAGGGTCTCCTGGCGCCAGCTGGCGCCAGCTGGAGATGGAAATTCTTTTGTTGTAATTATTAATATGTATTGATCAAATCTATTCAAATCTTCTAATCAATATGTTTGTTTTTTAAGTGTATATGATTCTCATATAGTTCCTATCGTTGATCTACTGATTGATCTAGTATTGATCTACTATTGATCTTATCCGGTTTACTTTGTTTCGCTGGTGACTGGTGGTTTTTGGATATGTTGGATGGTGGATGTATGGGTATGTCGCTCTCAGCTGGTAATTTTCGATGGGTAGTGCTATGGATGTGTCTTGAAACTCTGCCAACACAAGAGGTCAGTCCTGAAGGCGGCAGCTCATGCCTAAAACTCGGTTCAGGAATCTCTTCAAGGTTTTCCCATCCTGGTCACGGCCTCAGATATGACAAGGTGACAAAATGTCACAAAATGTCACAAAATGTCACAAAATTCTACTGTAAACATTGGCCATGCGGACTCTCAACCATTGACAGGTCAATTGGGGCCCCTCACCAGGTGAAACCTGTTGGGTTTCCAGTGCCATCTGCGCTACAGCTGTAAACTCCTCCCAACCTCAGGGCGGTGTTGTTGTAAGTTAGCCGCTAACGCGGGCAACTGTAGCGTTTCTGCAGCCAGGAAACCCCCAGGCCACCTCTCTAAGTTCACTGATGCTTTCCCCTTCTCCTCCAGACCCAAATCAGCCAAGGCCTTGGCACGTCCCATCAAAGCTCAGAAGTTCTGTTCTAAACCAGTTTTAGTTTGCAGTTTGATTCAAAAACCATGCAGGTGCCTTTTCACCAACAGTTTAGGATTGACACAACGCGACAACTAGCGACAACGCGACAAGGGAATTTCGAACATTGAACCGCTGATGATTGGATGATGATTGGATGATGATTGGATGATGATTGGATGATGATATCTGGATCATGATATCTGGATCATGATATCCATCCATCCAACGAAATCCCCCACCTTTGAAAGTGCTGCCGGCCCATAGGGCCACTCATCAAATCCATCCGCCCAAAGCCGAAGACATCACCGCGAGAGCCAAAGCCTGGAAAAAATGGCCGGCCCGGGAAATGCATATTCTGCTACTGCTGCCCAACCAGTTCTAGTTTTTTCTAAAAAAAAAATTCTGGGTGACTTGGAATCCACGGAATTGTTTGGAACTAGTTTGCGAACTTGGCCACTGAGAAATGATTACTTCGTCACAAGAGCCCTAGGTGGCCCTAGGTTCAGTTCCAAACATGTTTGAATCAAAACAGAGGACCAAACCACGGAGTTGTGTTGATTCTGAGCATCACACCCTCCAAGGTCGTCCATATCTCTTCAAACTAAACCACACCATAGACACCGACATCATCGAATCATCAAGTCAGATTATCATCAATTCGTCAAACCATCAATGAAAAACATCATTCTCATACTTGTCATAATCACCATGTAAAACAAAGATGCACACACACAGAGACAGATATTTTTGTTTTCCATCGCCGAAGGTTCAGCTAAGGCTGAGGGCGAGTTGACACAGACAGACATACAGAGTCCCGGCAGGATCGTCCGCGAATCGATCCAGCTATTCAGCTCAACAACAACAACAAAAAAAAAAAACAAGGAGGACAACGACAACCACAACAACAACAGCAACAACAACAACAACCTAGGGCCAACAACAACAACAACAACAAAAAACAAGGACGACAACGACAACCACAACTACAACAACAACAACAACCTAGGGCCAAGACAGGGGCAAACCTGCGCCCAAATAGGGCCAACATCGGCCAACAACAACAACAACAAAAAAAAAAAAACAACGACGACCACGACAACAACAACAACAACACCAACAACACCAACAACACCAACAACAACAACAACAACAACAACAACAACAACAACAACAACAACAACAACAACAACAACAACAACAACAACAACAACAACAACAACAACAACAACCAACAACAACAAGGACAACCAACGACACCAACAACAACAACAACAAAAAACCGACAACAAGGACGCCAACAAAACAACGACAACCACAACAACAACAACAACAACAACAAACAACAAGAACAACAACAACAACAACAACAACACGCCCGCTCGGGCTGACGGGTCTGCTTTTGCCGGCGCCCGGCTGTCAGGCGTAAGCCTCATAAATCCGGGCGCCGGCCCCGGGCCCGTGTCCTCGCCGGAGGCCTTCGGTGGTAACCGAAGGTTATATACGGCTGCCGCCCCTGCCGCCGACCACCTCGTGTCGATTCCGGTTCACTCCCGTTCACCCCCCACGATTATCGTTGCAATTTACAGTGTAGTCTGCGTGTGGTGTTCAAAAAACATCGTTTTTTACAGGGTTTTGTGGCCTTCGCCGTCTCCGGGTTTCATCTCGGCGACGTTAAAAAACCATGGGTTTTTCAGGGTTTTGGGTCTTAGGAAGGGGTCCGGAACGGAAAACTGGACATCTTCACGGCCTTGGTGCCAACATAGGGCCAACATCGGCCAAGATGTGGGCTACATGGGTCAACATAAGGCTAAGATAGGGGCAAGCCTGCGCCAACATAGGGCCAACATCGGCCAAGATGTGGGCTACATGGGCCGACAGAAGGGCTAGATGGGTCAACATACGGCTAAGATAGGGGCAAGCCTGCGCCAACATAGGGCCAACATCGGCCAAGATGTGGGCTACATGGGCCGACATAAGGCCAAGATAGGGACTACATAGGCCAAGATAGGGCCAACATCGGCCAAGATGTGGGCTACCTGGGTCGACATTACGCCAAGATGTGGGCTACATGGGCCAACCTAGGGCCAAGACAGGGGCAAACCTGCGCCCAAATAGGGCCAACATCGGCCAACATCGGCCAACAACAACAACAACAACAACAACAACACCCGCTCGGGCTGACGGGTCTGCTTTTGCCGGCGCCCGGCTGTCAGGCGTAAGCCTCATAAATCCGGGCGCCGGCCCCGGGCCGCAGCCCGTGTCCTTGCCAGAGGCCTTCGGTGGTAACCGAAGGTTATATAGGCTGGCCCCCCCTGCCGCCGACCCACCTCGTACTTACCTCGTACTTACCTCCGCCCGATTCCGGTTCACTCCCGACCCACGAATATCGTTGTAATTTACAGTGTATTCTGCGTGTGGTGTTCAAAAAACATCGTTTTTTACAGGGTTTTGTGGCCTTCGCCGTCTCCAGGTTTCATCTTGGCGACGTTAAAAAACCATGGGTTTTTCATGGTTTTGGGTCTTAGGAAGGGGTCCGGAACGGAAAACTGGACATCTTGACGGCCTTGGTGCCAACATAGGGCCAACATCGGCCAAGATGTGGGCTACATGGGTCAACATAAGGCTAAGATAGGGGCAAGCCTGCGCCAACATAGGGCCAACATCGGCCAAGATGTGGGCTAAGGGCTACATGGGTCAACCTAAGGCTAAGATAGGGGCAAGCCTGCGCCAACACAGGGCCAACATCGGCCAAGATGTGGGCTACATGGGCCGACATAAGGCCAAGATAGGGACTACATAGGCCAAGATAGGGCCAACATCGGC